TTTTTTTTGAAATGCACGTTTATGTTGATTAATCTTATGGGGAAATGCTACGGTCTCGTTACGGTACCATCCCGTCGGGTGTTTTAACCGTTGGATGCACATGTAGTAAGTATAAGATAGATGATCCAAGGTTAAAACACCCGGCGGATGATACGGTAACGGGACCATAGCATTTCCCAATCTTATGATGTTGTTTGATGGGATGTTGATGTTTTTCATGGAAACTTTGAACTGAAATGCGGTTTTGTTTTTTCAAGAATGGATTTTTATTCATTATCTGAGTGTTTTTTTTTTTGTTCTTTTAATTATTTTCATCCTCCTTATAGGTGTTAGTGTAGTTCATTGCATTGATCTTGATGTCTTGGGAATTCGAAATGATATAGAGTTTCATTTTTTTAAAGATTGGGAAACTTGAAATGGTCCCTGATTTTCATTTTTTTTTATTTATTTTTATGGTAATTGCCCATAAGAATTCACTAGTTTTATATTTAGACCAAGTTGTTGAGGATAGTTAGGTGTGATATTCCTTGGTTTTGTCTTTCTTCTTCCTTTTTTCTTTGTTAATTTCCTCTAAATAGCCATTGACTGTGCTTGGATTTTATCCTTTTCCTTTTCTTGCTTCAGTTTATTTAACATCTTTTATTTCCTAATGAAAGCTAATTTAAGAGCTTTTTTTTTTTTTTTCAACCATCAAAGTTATTATCTTGCTCCCACAGCCTTTTATCTTGAAGTTGTTCCTCCACAACAGAAAATGTAGAAATTTTCATTGTTAATCTACACTACACTGCCTGCTGATTTTTCATTTTTTAGGCCGACCAACATAACGGTTTATGCTTTTTAAAAATATCCGATACCGGTTTAGTTTTATAAAGTCCGATCAGTCGAAAGATTTGTGCTATTATAAATATGTGATAGCACAATGGTTTTGGTCAAACTAGATCAATCTAAAGGTTCGTGGTTTTGTAATATTTGTTTTGGTACCAGAATCATCCGAAACTCAATGGAGTTGCAACTGACATTCTCATACACTTCATACAGCTTTAAGCTACACGTCTTATTAATCATGCAAGTTTCTCCAAAATGTGCATTTTTTTGGTGTACCTGATAATCTTTTGTTTTGGTGGATTTTACTTGGGGATTTAAGTGCCTCGTTAGAACTGGTCTTTATGAAGTCAAAGAATGACCATATCCTTTTTTGGTCATTAATATCCAGCCCTTTGAGTTTATAGCTCATCTTTGTGGAACTTTTGCAGGTTGCTCCAGTCACTTTAGGAGTAGGGTCTCTCGTGTGGGTCGAGGACCCTGATGAGGCATGGATTGATGGTGAGGTTATAGCCGTAAATGGTGAAGACATCAAAGTATCTTGTACATCGGGAAAGACGGTGAGTAATGTCTTCATCACATCATAGGGAGGTGCCATATTTACTACACATTTCTTCCGAGTTATTTTTAGTTATGAGTCGTTCTCAGCCATTGCATTTCCAGTTCATTTTCATTTGATATTGCATGAGAAATGGCGTATCATTCTCAATCTTGTGTTTGTATTAGTTTGAAGAAACCTTTATGCTCATAATTGGACGAATTATGAAAGACTACTTTGGCTAGAGGGCACAAAAGAATAACAGAATATTATAAACTAAATTCAGTAACGTTATTGTCGCTACATTTTCTTTTCGTTTTTCTTCCTCTTCTTTATGAATCATCAAAATATTTTGTATCTTTAAAATGTTAATGATGCATAAGTGAGAAAAAGAAAAAGTTAATGGGATCTTCATAGTGGTCATGGGGTTCTCAATTCATTCTTTGCACATTATGGTGAATTCAGACAAGAAGTTTTTCCTTCTACATTCTGACATTCACATATTCAAGTTCACTTACTTAATGAGTGAGAATGACAATCAACTCTTTTCCACAGGTTGTGGCCAAGTCCTCTAATGTCTTTCCCAAGGATACCGAGGCTCCGCCTTGTGGGGTCGATGACATGACAAAGTTGGCATACTTGCATGAGCCAGGAGTCCTCGACAATTTAAAATCCAGATACGACATCAATGAGATATACGTAAGTCCCTCGAATATTTTATTTCATATCGTGTAAATTCTTAACTCTCTATCATGCATAAAAGTTCATCTACTATTATTAAAAGCTGTGTTTTGCAGCCATCTTTATTTGTTATTTTTTTTTTTCATCAGACCTATACTGGGAGCATATTGATCGCCGTAAATCCTTTTCAAAGATTGCCTCATCTATATGATAGTCATATGATGGCACAATATAAAGGTGCCGCCTTCGGCGAGCTGAGTCCTCATCCGTTTGCCGTTGCAGATGCTGCATACAGGCATACATTTTTCTTTAGCATTGTAGATTTAAGCCAATTTTTATATATGCTGTTTTTGAGATAAATTTTTGGGACGACAGGCTTATGATAAATGAGGGGGTAAGTCAGTCGATTTTAGTCAGTGGTGAGAGTGGGGCGGGCAAGACAGAAAGCACGAAATTGCTCATGCGTTATCTGGCTTATATGGGGGGCCGATCGGGAGGTGAGGGAAGGACAGTCGAACAACAAGTACTTCAGGTAATTGGGTTTTTATTTATTTATTTATTTTTTATGTGTTACATGGCAAAAGGCCAATTTTTTAGCTCACTATTTTGCACGTTTTTCTTTATTGAAGTCGAACCCTGTTCTCGAGGCATTTGGTAATGCAAAGACGGTTAGAAATAATAATTCAAGGTACATGAAATTCTGTTCATGTTTATTTTCTTTCTCCTTGATAAGTCTACATTATTTTCTTGAAATAGTCAACTGTAAATTCTATTGATTCCCCCCACGAATTCTTTTTTTTTTCTAGTCGCTTTGGTAAGTTTGTCGAGATTCAGTTCGATCAAAGGGGTAAGATATCAGGGGCTGCCATCAGAACATACCTTCTTGAAAGGTCTCGTGTTTGTCAAGTGTCTGATCCTGAGAGAAACTACCATTGTTTCTATATGCTTTGTGCTGCACCCGAAGAGGTAATGTATTCCCACTTAACATCTACTGTGGTTCTCTCTCTCTCTCTCTGATTATTGCATCTGACTTTGGCGTAAGTTAGATTTTTATATCATCTTATTTTCCACTTAGATTTTACCTTTTTTTTTTGCCTTTATTATCATATTAAATATCTCCATGCATCTCTCAGGAAATTAAGAAGTACCACCTGGGAAACCCAAGGACATTTAACTATTTAAATCAGACGAATTGCTATGAGCTAGACGGGATTGATGATTCTAAAGAATATATAGCAACAAGGAAAGCAATGGATACTGTAGGAATCAGTTCTGAAGAACAGGTACAAAATGCAGTTTGTTTAACATGCAAAAATGATTCATTTCTTTTATTATTATTATTTTTTTTGGGGTGGGGGAGAATTTGAAGACATTTTCATGCTAATATCACTTCTTATTACTTGCCAGGATGCAATATTTCGGGTTATTGCTGCAATTCTCCATCTTGGGAACATTGAGTTTGTAAAGGGGAAGGAAATCGACTCGTCCATGCCTAAAGATGAAAAATCTTGGTTTCATTTGCGCACGGCTGCCAATTTATTCATGTAAATGATTTTATTTCAGCATCCGTAATGAGAATAAGGAAAATCCAAAATTCTGTTTCTGAAAGCCTCGGTGCATTTGCAGGTGTGATGCAAAGTCTTTAGAAGATTCCCTTTGCAAACGTGTGATTGTGACCCGTGATGAGACCATTACTAAAGAACTTGATCCTACGGCAGCTGTTGCAAGCCGAGATGCCTTGGCCAAAATCGTGTATTCGAGGTTGTTTGACTGGTAAGCTTCATTCCTATTCTGTTTATTGCTTTTTGTTATTATTATTATTATTATTATTATTATTATTATTATTATTATTATTATTATTATTATTATTATTATTATTTCATTTGGGTTTTGCTGAGAATTTAGTTCACTATTTCGCAGGCTTGTGGACAGGATCAATAGTTCTATAGGTCAAGACCCGAATTCAAAATGTTTAATTGGAGTTCTGGATATATATGGATTCGAGAGCTTCAAGACTAACAGGTGCTTAACCGGTACGCTGTGCCATCATTGTTGATATATGATTGTTTCCGTTTTTCATATATTGCATACAACACAACCAAACATAGTTATGTGAACTGCATTATGAGATTCGTGTAAATTCATATCCTTCTTCAAAACACAAGTTGTTTATAAAATTTTGAGTGGCACAACAATGCATTTGGTTATATTTTCGTCATTTTATTTGATTTTGTTTATTTGCTACGGTTTTAGGACGTGATGCTTGTCATATTACTTTAGTACCATTAAATGGTATCTTATTTGATGGTTTAAAAGATGTACTCTATAGTGCTAACCATTCTTTTTTCTTGACCCTTGAGCTCAGTTACTACAACAATATTCTAAACACGACCATTTTTATTTGTGTTGGATTTATTCAACAGTTTTGAACAGTTTTGCATAAATTTGACGAATGAGAAGCTTCAGCAGCACTTTAATCAGGTATTTTTGTAATTTTCTGTTCCTTGCGGTAATTTTTTTTTTGTTCATGTTTATTTCAGTTATTCGATACTAAGCTACTTATTTGGCAGCATGTGTTTAAAATGGAGCAAGAGGAGTACACGAAAGAAGAAATTAACTGGAGCTACATAGAGTTCATTGACAATCAAGATGTTCTTGATCTAATTGAAAAGGTCTTGCTGTCTTTGCTGGTTTATTTTTCCAACTCTCTCTCTCTCTCTCTCTCTCTCTCTCGCAATATATATTATATATATATATATATATATCTATATATATATATATTTATTTATAGTTCTCTCACTTTCTGTTATATATTTGTTTTCTGAAATTCCTCAGAAGCCAGGTGGCATTATAGCCCTTCTTGATGAAGCTTGGTGAGTCTCTCATCACTATATTTTAAACCATTCAACTTATTTACAAATAACAACAAATGGGATCGGCTATTTTTTTACTAAAATTGTCTATGATACTTGTTTTTGTAGCATGTTCCCTCGTTCGACTCATGAGACGTTCGCCCAAAAGCTGTACCAAACTTTCAAGAACCACAAACGCTTTAGCAAGCCCAAATTAGCCCGTTCCGACTTTACCATCTCACATTATGCGGGCGATGTAAGTGTTTTCAATCGCATCATGTATTGCATTTAGTATAATATCTATTTTAACTCGACAAATTTTGTTCGTGTCAGGTCACGTATCAAACCGAGTTGTTTCTTGACAAAAACAAGGACTATGTTATTGCTGAGCATCAGGCCCTCTTGAGTGCCTCCAAATGCCTGTTTGTGTCGGGTCTTTTTCCTCCATCGAACGAGGAGTCCTCCAAGCAATCAAAATTTTCTTCAATTGGCTCGAGGTTCAAGGTATGTTTTTTAAGCCTCTTTTTTGGTTGTTTACTTCGATATATGTAAAGTTATTCATGCGACCCAAACTTTGCAGCAACAACTACTAGCTCTTCTTGAGACCCTGAGCGCCACTGAACCTCATTATATACGTTGTGTTAAACCGAATAATCTTCTCAAGCCGGCTATCTTTGAGAATCAAAATGTCCTTCAACAACTGCGTTGCGGGGTATAGCTACTCTTTTATTATTTATTTATTTATTTTTTGATCTGTATAGCTACTCTTTTATTTGATTTGCTTCGTCACTACTATTTTTGGGTAAATTATAAAAACTAACGTAACTCACCTCTTGAGGCTGCAGATCATAATGTATAAATAAATGTCAGTTTGGCATTTCAAAATTTTTACAGATGGCGGAGTTTTTATTAGACTGATTCTGAAGGGTAGTTTTGATTTATTTATTTTATCATTTTCGTTCATAAATCCAGGGGGTCATGGAAGCTATTAGGATAAGTTGTGCAGGATATCCTACCAAAAGGCCCTTCTTCGAATTCGTAGACCGTTTTGGGATTCTTTCTCCCGAAGTTCTGAAAGGAAGGTATGATCTAATTTTTGCTTATGTACTTCCGCTCTGACTCATCACAATCATTGAAAGTGGTCGTTCAATTATAAATTGTTTTAATTCGATATGTTTTTAGCACGGATGAGGTTGCCGTTTGCAAGAAGCTCTTGGAGAAAGCTGGACTCGAAGGCTACCAGGTAACAACCTTCTTCTACTTGTTGAGCTTATACATAATCCCAATGCTTAAGCCCCAGCCGAGTTTAGCTAAGACTAAAAACAACGACCTGATTAAGCAAGTTTGTAATCAATTTACTTAGAATAGTGTGGTTCCCCTTGTTCTTTTCACCTTTTTTCTTTCTTTTTATGTTGTTTAAGCTGCATGTACTTATGGAGTAAGCTTTTTGCAGATTGGTAAAACGAAAGTGTTTTTGAGGGCTGGTCAGATGGCCGAGCTGGATGGCCGGAGAACAGAAATCTTAGGAAGATCGGCCAGCATTATCCAGAGGAAAATGCGTTCTTACATGGCCAGAAGAAGTTTCATGTTATTACGTCGTTCAGCCATATTTATTCAATCCGCATGCAGAGGTTACTGATTTCGCTTTTGTTGGGCATATGCTTTCTTCTTTCAATTGAGCTTAGAAACAAACATTTGCATTTGTCGAGACGCATTTTATTTACTTCTCATTTAATTTTTAATTATTGCAGGACAACTTAGTCGTAAAGTTTACGAGGGCATGCGTAGGGAGGCTTCTTGTCTCAGGATACAGAGAAATTTACGGATGTATATTGCCAGGAAAGCTTACAGAGGATTGTGCTTATCTTCTGTCTCGATTCAGACAGGAATGCGTGGTATGGCCGCACGTAATGAGCTTCGGTTCAGACAGCGGACGAAAGCAGCTATTTTGATTCAGGTGAACTTTGTACTAGTTTTGTTATTCAATCTTTTATTGTTTTGTCTTTTTATTTAGGTAGCACCACTTTTTTATCTTCTTATTCTTTTTTACTTTTTCTGTAAAGAAAAAAAAAAATCGTGATGAATAATTTTTTTTTTCTTTATTTGTACAGAGCCATTGTCGTGAATACTTAGCCCGTTCGAAATATATCAAGCTGAAGAAAGCTGCACTCGCCACTCAGTGTGCATGGAGAGCCCGAGTTGCACGTAAAGAGCTGCGTAAATTGAAGATGGTCAACTCTAGTCCCTCATTTCTCTTTCAGTACTAATTTTCTGTTTCTTAAATTATTTAAAACTTATATTAATCAATCATCCTCCTTTGGTTTCAGGCCGCGAAAGAAACTGGTGCCCTGCAAGCTGCCAAGAATAAGTTAGAGAAGCAAGTTGAGGAATTGACTTGGAGATTGCAGCTCGAGAAACGAATGAGAGTATGCCAATTTTTTTTTTTTTTATTATTTTTTTTTTTTTATTTTTTTTATTTTAACTCATTTATTTTTGTTATCGTCCATTAATTAGAAACTGTGACTTGAACTTCCCACAAAACTAATAAGAAAAATGAAAGATAGTATAAATTTGTAATATATATTATCACAGGCGGACCTGGAAGAAGCAAAAACACAAGAGAACATGAAACTGAAAACGGCTTTACAAGAGCTTCAGCTTCAGTTTAAGGAAGCCAACGAGATGCTCGAAAAAGAACTAGAAGCTGCAAAATCGGTAGCCGAGCAAGTCCCCATAGTACAGGAAATTCCAGTCATCGACCATGAAATGATGAATAAGCTCGCTGCCGAAAATGATAATCTCAAGGTATGCTAACTGTGACCTGTTAACCTTTCTGTTTATTCCAGAAATATTTTTTATTGTTTACCATTTCCTTTTTTTTTTTTTTAATGTTTCCTTAAACTGCATCCTCTTGCAGGCCTTAGTGAGCTCTCTCGAGGCAAAAATAGGTGAAACGGAGAAGAAATATGAAGAGTCGAACAAACTCAGTGAGGAGAGGTTGAAGCAAGCCATGGACGCTGAGTCTATAATCGTCAAGTTGAAGACCAATGTGCATCGGTTAGACTTTCTTTTTATTATTATCTACTTCTGCATAACTTCTAATTATATTTATATTCTTAAACAAGGTTTGACATTCTTGTGAGCTTTTTCATTCTCTTTTTCCTGATACTTAAGATTTTGCTCAACCTTTATTGTATAGTTATAAGAAAAAATTAATGTGTGTGCGCAGGCTTGAGGAAAAAATATCCGACATGGAAGCTGAGAATAAAATTCTCCGGCAGCAAACGTTGTTAGCTCCTTCCAAAGGGGCAGTAGAACATTCACCAGCTCTAGTGCCTAAGGTTAGTAATAACTTCTCTAGGAAACTCATTATTTTTTGCTGTACTCTTTTACCAGTTCCATATGGATAATATATTAATATTATACACGCATGCAGGCACTGGAAAACGGCCACCACGACAATGAAGTGAGTGAAAAGAACCGATATCCTCTCTTTGAAAAATGCACCATTACATACCTTCTTTTCCTCTCTTAGTTTTCTTTCATCTTTTTTTCTTTTCTCTTTTTTTTTTCTATTAATGTGAGGCCTGATTTCTTCAGGATATGTTTCATACTCCGGTTAAAGTATCTGAAACTTCTGATAGTAAACCAAGAAAGCCCCCAATCGATCGTCAGAATGTCTGTGCTTCTATAAATCAAGATTTTCTTTTTCTTTCCTTGTATATGATATTTTTCTTTAAAAAATAAATCCTTTTTATTTTGCTGCAGGAAGATGTGGATGCCCTCATTGAATCTGTGAAGAAAGACGTGGGCTTCAGCCAAGGCAAGCCCGTTGCAGCTTACACTATATACAAATGCCTGATGCACTGGAAATCGTTTGAGTCCGATCGAACGAGTGTGTTTGATCGTCTGATTCAGATGATTGGGTCGGCCATCGAGGTAATAATACATTCCATGACTTCTGAATTGTTAATATTATTCCTTTTTTATTTATACTAGGAAGGTAGCACGTAATATTATTGTTTTTTTTTACTTAAAATTATTTTCATTATTAGATTTATATTTAATAGTACAATATAATTTTCTTTCCATTAGTTTAACAAAAAAATGGTGTATTTTGTGATAAGTAATATAAATGTATTGAATATTGAAATATAATATTTAACTAGTACAACGTCCGTGTATTACACGGGTGCTAGCTAATTTTTTTCTTAAAATTTAAAATTAATGAGAAAAAGTAGGTGAAAATTTAAATACCTTTTATAAAAATATATATATTATTATATATTTAGTATGATACTTTTTATTTGTGTGACTTACCTGTGTTATATTATAATAATTTTTTTAACTTACAACATATAACTACATTAAACATAAATATATCATTAAACATAAATATGTCAACTGAGAAATAATTTGATTTTTCTAATAAATTTTAATAAATAATATTATTTTATATTATTATAAAGATGAATATACTTTATTTATTTTTTATATACAATATAGATGTCAAATCGAAGATCATGAAAAGATGATTAATTTGATATATTATATATGTAAAACCGATACGAAATACAAAAGTTATCAACTTTTAAAATACATTTATAATTCATTAGCTAATTCATTAGCTAATTGAAGGAAACAAATCAAAAGTCAGGGATATATTAGTCACTTAGTGTCTCACTATGTAAAATTATAAAGAATTAAAGGGTTATATTAGTACAAGTGATATTAAAATACCTAAGTTAGCTAAATAATATTTACGGAATGTCCGAACCTAGATTATTAATTATTAATATATCAATATTATTTGTCCAAACCTAATTACGAAGCATGATTCTTCGCCAAGTAGGATTCCGAAGCACCAGAAGCAGCCAACGTAGGCTCAGCGCATTCGGGAATTATATAGGGGGATACTATTAACTGACTCTATGATAAATAAAATTAAATATAAAACATTGGGTTGAAAATCTTTTTTCTTTGGTGAAATTTTAAATGCTAAAGAAATCAATGTTGTCTTTGATTTTAAATAATTATCATTATTATTGTCATCATATTATAGTTTTCTAATGTCTTTCCTTTTGCGTCATGCTATTTGAAAAAAAACTCGAATTTGCTATAACAATCATTTGTAATGATCATTTCTTTTTGTTGATTGGAAGCTAACCACTTATGTTTGAATGTTTCGTTCACTATTATTTTGATTATAGTAGTTGCAAAATTCAATTACTTTTGCAAGTATAATATTTCATAAGACTTAGATATGTATTCTCTATGTGGATATAATGACATAAGAGATAAATAAATATTTGAAAATATCTTTAAAGTCGTAATTATTTCGAAAAAAAAATTACTTGAAATAGACTAGGAACAATAACATTCTTGATTGATTAAAGGTACCGATTTATCTATATTTATTGTCCAACATTGGTTGATTAAGGTACCCATCTATATTTTCAAATAAATATTTGCAAATATTTTTAAAGTCGTAATTATTTCGAAAAGAAAATTACTTGAAATAGATTAGGAACAATAATTGATTAAAGGTACCGATCTGTCTATATATATATATTGTCCAACATTGGTTGATTAAGATACCCATCTATATATATTGACCAACACAAATTATTATTGCATCTCTTAAATGCATTATCATTTTCATTCACGAATTTTCAAGATCGTCCTAAATGTGAAAAAATAAAATAAGTCCAGTTTAAATGAATTATATGATTTTTTCGTATTTTACTTTTATCTTAATATTAATATTGTTTTTATATCTTCGTCAATATTTTTCTATAGTTTATTTTTTCTACTTCTGAAAAGTGATTTGAAACATTTAATTTAATTCTGAATGATTTTATAAATGAGATGGTTAATGACAACAAATTTAAAGTAATGTAATATATATTTTTATTTAATTGATTTTAGTTGTAACTATTTTTTAATAATTACACGTATTTTGAAATTCAAGATTTAAAATCGAGTTTAGTTATTTTATTTTACTTTTATAATTACTCTATTTGTATTTATATTATAATTAAAGTAAATGGTAGATTAATTTTTGTAACACTTATATAAACATTTATACTATACATACTAATACTATTAACAGGTAAACTTAAATACATTATGCATATTATATTTATGAATAGTTTAAACAAAATATTTCTATTAAGATTATATATTTTCATTTAGCAAATAAGGGTGTGATTGGATATGAATTTGATTGGTTTTTTTTTTTTTTTGTTAACCATAGCTAAATTTAAAAAATGTGGTATGGTTAGTTGTTAGTGAGAATTAAATTTAAAATTAAATAATTAAAGTTGATTTGATGTAAAATAGAGAAAATGATTGGAAGTGCTGGTTAGTTAAGATTATATGATGGATGAATATTGAATTAAAATTGATGTGATAGGTAAGAATGATTGGTTGATATTATTTAATTACATTGGTTATATTGAAGATAGTGATGTTGTGTTAATGTTGAGTTAAATTGAGATTTGATTGGTTTTTTACTGGTTTCGTTTCTATCACACCCTAATTTTTTCCCACAGAAATTTGACATTTTTTATGTTGAAGAATTATTTTTGATTCAATCATTCTGATTGAATCACAAAAAATTCTTAAATTGTTCCTCTTTAAATTTATAATACTATCACAAAAAATCTCTATAGTAAACAGTATGATATTTGGAAATTAGAGATGATATACTTTCACTAGTGCATTATATATTTCACACTTATGAAATAAGATATTTTATATTTAAAAATTCTTAATATTATATTTCTCTTACATTTAAAAACTACCTTTAAAATAACTAAACATAAACCTAACTTCATATGTAGATTAATTCTAAGTAATATTGTAATTAATAATAGAAACTTAAAGATATAAATAAGTATAAAAGATAAAGACAATGAATACAAGTAAATTCAGAAATGGAGGTTTAAAAAGTTAACAACTATTGTTAGTTGTAATTTTTCTAACATTTATCTTTAGTGAGGGCATTTTTGTCAATTCAAAAGTTTCAAGAAACTACTCTTCCTTTTAAAAGAGTTATATTATATTATATTATATATATTATATAGATGATATTTAGAAAATTACTACATACTTTGTTTGGTTGGGAGTGGGTATATTGAAGCCTTTTGCAAGTGTGCTTACTCTCAAAATTGCCCGCCTTCTGAAAAATTCGAGAAAACCAAACATTTTTATTTATTTATTTATTTATTTAATTTGTAATAACAAAACATGTAACTATTTTGCAGAATCAAGAGAGCAATGATCATATGGCTTATTGGCTGTCGAATACTTCCACACTGTTATTCTTACTTCAAAAAAGCATGAAACCGGCAGGCTCAGCTGCTACCCCAGCTCGCAAACCGCAACCACCAACCTCCTTGTTCGGGAGGATGACAATGGTATTTATATATATATATATTTATCAAGTTTGTGAATTAATTTAACAACGAAAATAATACGAAAATAAAATTGTGTATAGGGTTTTCGCTCCCCTTCGTCTGTCAGCCTTGCAGCAGCAGCAGCTGCACTCGATACAGTTCGTCAAGTGGAGGCAAAATATCCAGCCTTACTTTTCAAGCAGCAGCTCACAGCTTATGTCGAAAAAATCTACGGTATTATTCGGGATAACTTGAAAAAGGAGTTAGGATCACTGCTTGCTTTGTGCATTCAGGTATTTGCCTTATTGTAATTGTTTTAGGAGCTACATTTATCAGGAATGTTGGCAGTTTTTTTTTTTTTTTTTTTTTTTTTTTTTTTTTTTTGTTGTTGTTATAATAAGAATTGCGATTCTCCTATTTTTATTCGTTGGTACTTTATCTTATGGACTTCAAGTCAAATCAACTCCAAGCCAGATTAAAAAAAAAAGTTGTAATACCAACATTTTAACATGTGTACTGTTATGAATTCAGGCACCAAGAACCTCCAAAGGGAATCTTATAAGGTCAGGACGGTCTTTTGGAAAAGATTCCTCGACGAATCATTGGCAAGCAATCATCGATAGCCTCAACTCCCTTCTCAGTACACTCAAACAAAATTTTGTATGGCTAAACCGGCTCAAGTTCATGTCTAATACCATTTGAAATTTATGTATTATAAGTTTATAACATAAATTGTTGTTTTCCAGGTTCCCACTGTTCTCATACAGAAGATATTTACTCAAACATTTTCGTACGTGAATGTGCAGCTCTTTAACAGGTTATTATCAATAAAGGAATTGTAAACTTTGGAGTTCTATTTCGTCTGCACTTTTTTGACATCCGAGAAAAAAAGTTAATATTAACTTTACAAAAACATTAATCCATCTTTTTTTTTTCAGCCTTCTTCTACGGCGCGAGTGTTGTACTTTCAGCAACGGCGAGTACGTCAAAGCTGGGCTGGCCGAGCTCGAGTTGTGGTGCTGCCAGGCAAAAGAAGAGGTAAATATATGCTTATACGATCATACTAAAGAGTAATTTTTGATTATGTTCTTTTGAGTCAGTTATTTCATCCTTAGCATTAACAAAATATTTGGAGCCCAGTATGCAGGGTTAGCTTGGGATGAACTGAAACACATAAGACAAGCTGTTGGCTTCTTGGTGAGTGCCTTTTTTTTTCAAAAAAAAAAAAAGTACATTCTTTTGTTTCTTTTTTTTCTTTTTGGTGCCGTAATTTGTTTCTCCTTTTGACATTTAGGTTATACATCAGAAGTACAGAATATCGTATGACGAGATCACCAATGATTTGTGTCCTGTAAGTCATTTATTTTCGCTCGTGTAAACCAAAAATATACAAAATCCGAAAAAAAAATGTTGCTTCATCAAAAGTCATTTTTCTGACACTTGAACTTTGTTCGGTGTCTACAGATTCTGAGCGTCCAGCAGCTTTACAGAATTTGTACTTTGTATTGGGACGATAACTATAATACTCGAAGCGTGTCAGCTGAGGTAAGTAAAATAATTTACCAAAACTAAAATTCTTGCAGTCATTATTCGTTTGTTATCATTCTCCGATGAATGAGCTCATATTTCGCAATTTATTTATTAATTAAAAAAAATAGGTCATATCGAGCATGAGGGTGCTTATGACAGAGGATTCCAACAATGCTGTTAGCAACTCATTTCTGTTGGATGATAATTCAAGGTACCTCAACCTTATCATAGTTTTACACTCTTGTAGTAAAACAAGTTTTGTTAGGTGTTTTTTTTTTTTT